TGGCTCTGTGGAAGGCAGAACTGCAGGAGCTCTGGAGAGATGTCTAATCTGAAAGACTCAGGCCCATGAAAGGGGGGCCTGAATGATATATAGTAGACTATAATCCATGGGGATTTCTGGATTATAGTAGGTATATGTTGAGTTTCTTTCTTTCTTTTTTTTTTGAGAGAGGAGAGAGAGAGAGAGAGAGAATTTTTTAATATTTATTTTTTAGTTTTCGGCGGACACAACATCTTTGGGCCACACGCATGCCAGGCGAGCGCGCTACCGCTTGAGCCACATCCCCAGCCCCTCTTTTTCTTTTTCTAAAGTACTGGGGATTGAACACGGGGGCTCTTTACCGCTGGAATACATCCCCAGTCCTTTTTAAAAATTTGAGACAGAGTCGCTGAATTGTTGAGGCTAGGTATCAACTTGCAATCCTCCTACTTTGGCCTCGGAGTCACTGGGTTTGCAGGCATATGACACCATGACCAGCTTTGAGGTCTTTTTTTTTTTTTAAAGTATATATTTTTTAGTTGTATGTGAACACAATACCTTTATTTTATTTTTATATGGTGCTGACAATTGAACTCGGTGCCTCACATGTGCTCTACCACTGAGCCACAACCCCAGCCCCTTTGAAGTCATTTTTATAAGAAAGACACTATCCCTTTACCCAAGAGTCTTAAGCAAATGTTTCATTTTAAAATCTAATCCTTCCCCTCCAAATTATGTAACAACTCACTTGTGTTTAGGTCTATATTTCCCTTATCTTATCTCAACAAGGAAACAGGCAATGAGTACAAGTCTGGGGCCTTGGCCTGAACAGGAAAGTTCACTTGCCCCCAACCCCCACAGCTCCAAGGACTCCCCAAATGGGGCACCTTGCCCTGAGCTGCTCAACTCCAATACTTTCAAGGCTACTTGAACTAGTTGGAGGCAGCACAGCTATCCTCTGAGAGCTAGACTAAACAATCCAAAGAAGAGCTGCTTCAACTAACTCAGTGACACTATCACATCTGAAGGCAGAAGTCAACACACCACTCAGGTCTACAATGTAGGTGGTGTCCAGTACTGTCCTGGAGAGACTCATCTATCCATTCCTCCTGCTTGAAGTCACTAGAGTTGGAGGACAGGAGAAGATGGAGTCCTAGGGTTTGGGTGAAGTGTCACTCAAAGCACCTCCTCCAGTTCTAGAATTTCCCATTAAGCAAGAAATCTTAAGATGATTAATTGGAGGACCAGGTAACAATAATGACTCTTTTTTTTTTTTTAAAGAGAGAGTGAGAGAGGAGAGAAAGAGAGAGAGAATTTTTTTTAATATTTATTTTTTTTAGTTCTCGGCGGACACAACATCTTTGTTGGTATGTGGTGCTGAGGATCGAACCCGGGCCGCATGCATGCCAGGCAAGCGCGCTACCGCTTGAGCCACATCCCCAGCCCCACAATAATGACTCTTTTCTTGCCTTACAAGTCTTGAGGAACACAGCAGCAGGAGAATAAGCACATTCCATAAATGCTATCTTTAGGGTCACAGGAAACAAGTGGCTAGACAGATAGGGAAATAGGCTATTTACACTTTCACAGACTCCATCTTTTGTTTATTTCCACTAAAAGGAAAAATGCTAAAATAGTCACAGGTCCTACCTAAAAATTAATGAGCAAATTTTTTTTCCTGAGATTTCCATACAACTTTAAGACCAAAGTTCCCAGAATGGTGATTTCTTCTAAGAAATACATAAAATAGAATATATTAACTACAGGAGATGACATTGGTTCACTGAAATTTGTTCAGACACCTCATATCTTTTTTTCCCCCCCAGTATTGGGGGTCAAATGCAAGGGCACTTTCCTACAGAGTTACATTTCTAGCCCTTTTTATTTTAAAGTAGGATCTCATTAAGTTGCTGAGGCTGGTACTGGATTTGGCCTCCACAGTAGCTGGGATTACACCCATGGCCTATCATGCTCAGCTACCTCCCGTGTCTCTGATAGAGAGCCCTGGATAAAGTTTTTTCTCTTTGTAGTTTCCAGAAGAGATTTAATCCAAACACAACATGTTCTCCAGTTTCTTTTACCCTAGTCTTCTGCCCTGCACACCTGCCCTAACATTCTTCACCTAACAGCAGTACTCTTGCACTGAAAATTGGATCATGTTATTTCTTCACTGAAAAAGACTTCAACAATGACAATGACAAAATAACACCTACTGAGCGCTTAGTACTGCCAGGCTCTTTTTGGAGCACTTTAGGTATATTGATTTACTCAGTCCTAATGAAGTAGGTATTATCCACTTCTACATGCAAGGAAAGGGAGACAAGGAACAGTTAAGCAATTTGCATAAGATCATATGGAAGAGAGAAGGAGGAGGGAACTGAACTTTGGCAATCTTACTCTAGAGCCCCCATCTTTACCTAGTCTGTCCCCAGGGGTCACATGTTTCTATTCCTTTAAGGAGATGTCCATGACAACTGTCATCATTTGCTAAACACTTACTACAAGGTACGGGCTTAAAACATTTACTCTTGTATTTAATTCTATCACCAGGAACACTATTATAATATGATCTAGGACACTGGCCAGCTCAGAAGTTACCTGGCTAGGCGCAGAACCTAACAACAGTGGAGCCTGCTGGGTGGCTGGCTGCACAGCCCTGCTCTTTCTGAGGATCCACACATCTCCCTTTCCTGCAGCCCTACCCACCTCAACACAAGACTGCACACATCAAGGTCAGAAAAGTACAGATTGGCGGGGCTGGGGATATAGCTCAGTTGGTATAGTCAGTGCTTGCCTTGGATGCACAAGGCCCTGGGTTCAATACCCAGCACCATCGAAACAAGAAGAAAGAAGGAAAGAAAGAAAGAGAAGTACAGACTGAATAGATACTACAGAATTGAGAGGAGCAACTTCAGAGAGCTCAGGACCCCCCTGGGAAGGGGCTCACTCAGGAATTACTGAGGGAACTTCTAGATTCAGAAGCACCAGAGGATCCAGCACCAACTCCACATCAGTTACGTGAGGGGAAGACCTCGTTGACAAACATACTGCTTAGGTGTTAAGAACCAGAATCCAAGTGAAAGTGCCAGCTGGTGAATCACAGGGTGGTGGCAGTAGCAGTTGTAGTGAATATGCGCGTGGAGGGTGTACATTTCAGGCAAGAATGAATTTAGGATGAATTTAGAGAATGAATTTAGAATGAATCGGGCATAACTTTCCTAAGTTCATATATGAATACACAACCAGTGTAACTCCACCTCATGTTCAACCACAAGAATGGGATCCTAATTAGAGAAGTTATACTCCATGAATGTATAATATGTCAAAACACATTCCACTATCATGCATATCTAAAAAGAACAAATAAAGAGAGAGAGAATGAAATTCTGGCCAAAGACACAAGGAGTCATTAATAATAAACATCTGCCCAGGGAATGTATGTTTGAGAAAACAGTGATGTTTCTCAGCCTGACGATTTTACAGAGACGTTTAAACTTATTTAGTGTGTACTGGAAAACTACTGGCCAAGGTCCCATTTCTTCATACAGGCAACCTTAGCTCACGCCAAGCTGGAAATGCCATAATATTTAAGAGTCCTAGAGAAAAGTGCGGTGCACAAGCTTGCAATTCATTTCCAAGACTCCTCCCCCAGCAGCTCCAGGACATCCGGAAGCCCGTCCCACCTGTTTTCTGCCCTTGCCTGAGGCCAACTGGGCAGCGGTGACAGGTGACAACGCTCTCAGAGGCTCCGTAGCCTCGGGCCAGTCACCCCACCACTCCCAGCCTCGAGTTGCCAGTCGGTAAAATGGGGATGCCATTAACAGTTAGCAACCAGGGGCGCAGGCGCGCCCCTGAACCCCCACCACTCGGAGCACCGTCTGAGCCCAGGAGTTTTAAGGCCAGCCTGGGCGACACAGCGAGACGC